AAGAACACTTGAGTTATTTTTAAAACTTGTGATCTTGAGCCAGTGTTTCTGGGGACAGGCTCAGGCTGACAATCCCCAGGAAACAGCCACTCCAAACCGAGGGCTTAATGCTAATTGAAATCTTGCGCAAAGACCACATTTGAAGAAATTATGTTGTAATTAGGTGAAGTTATTAGTGATTGCTTTAACTAATTGATACGATAACACAATCGGCAGACAAGATTTTAATCAGTGGTCATGAAATCAGAAGTAAACTAACCAGTCACTACCTCCTCCTTTGCAGCTCATTTGCACACAGTAATTCTGCTGCAGATAATGACTCAGCGTCAAAAAGAAAGAAGACTAAATCTCAGGAGATAAATAGGTAAAAGCCTCCCTCATTTTAATGAAAAACAGACACAGAAAGGCCAGAAAGATCCTGTCAACATGATTTGTAATACCATTACTTAATTTTTACCAAATGCTTTTTCTGCTATGCTTTAGCTGAAGCACATATTTATTTGATATTGCATTGGCAAAGTTTAAAAGAGCCCCAAAAATACCTCTCTGCTTCTGCTACGCATGACCTGACCGATCTCACCTTTGATTTTTAGGGAATGATAGCACTGCACTGATGTGGGTTATTCTCAAATCGTGGATGCCTTTCTGCTAGTTTATACGAAAGAATCACAACATTCTGCTGGAGTGTGACTCAAGAGTCACCTGCACAGCCAGGGACAGAAAACCTCTTTCCTTGAGTAAAACATGGGGTTACTCAAACTATTCACAGAACGGTGTCCTCCTTAACCATTAGTAAACCAGAAGTGGGAGGCAGCTCAAAGCCTTGAAATTTTAATAACACAAAGTTGAGGCCTCTTGCTGTTTACCATTTTTTCCCCCCATCCTTTCAGTTCCTTTTCTCTAGCTCTTCCCTTTGATCCCCTTATATCAAAGGGAAAAGCTAAGATTCTCATATCTTGGAGCTGCTTCCAGGTGTTGCATCACTTTTGCAAAACACTTCCAAGCACTGGGAGAGTCCCAGGAGTCTGACACTTTGAAATGGAGTTGTTTAGTGGGTTGATTGAGTGACCTTCCCACAGCTAGTCCAAAGCCACAAGAGGAAAATGAGCACCCTGCACCTCATGATATCCAGAGCTGGGTTGAGCATATCAACACTCCAGCATCAAGGAGACATGGCCATTCAGCAGTGTGGGGACAGCTGGAACAGGAGAGAGCTAAGAAATGGAGCAACAGAAAAGCCTGCAAATGGGAAGACAGGGCTACAGAGAATGGGTAAGATTGGAGTTAGAAGCAGAAAAAGTAGGAAAGTGATGAAAGAGGCACTTCAAACACTGCATAGAATGTCAGGGAATTTGTAGTATCGGGCTTCTTGTCTGAGAGGAGAAAGTTTTGGTGACCAATCTTTCCCTTTCCATCATTTGATCACTCTTCCTATATTTTTATATGGATAGAATGGTGGTGAAAAGTTGCTGCATCCTGCTCCTGAGAGCTGAGCATTGCACAGAACTGCAAGAGAGGATCAAGGACCACAGGGCTAAGCAGGGCTCCCTGCTCCCTTGGACCCCAGCTACATAGAATTATAGAATGATTCAGGTTGGAAGGAACCTTAAAGATCACTGAACTCCAATCCTCATGGAATGGGCTGGCTGCCCCCAACCAGATCAGGCTGCCCAGGTCCCCATCCAAACAGGCCTTGAGCATCTCCAGGGATGGAGTATCCTCAACCCCTCCGGGCAGCATATGCCAATGCCTCATCACACTCTGTGTAAAATATTTATTCCTAACAACTAACCTAAATCTTCCCTCTTTTAGTTTAAAGCCATTCCCCCTTGTCCTGTCACCATTAAGCTGGTTGCAGCCAGGCAGATGCTGCTTTTACACATGCCTTGTGATATTTCTGAAACACAAGTCAGGTTTACAGCAGCAGTGCTTTGAAGGCATTTCAGATTAAAGGATGCCATGCTGAACTGGGTCCTAACACCTCATCATTGGCTTTGGGTATGGAAAGAGCAATGCGTGCTGGGACTGCCAAAGCTTTAATAGAACAGAGACAAGCTGGAAAAATTCAGTTTTATTATTGGAGCTCCCATTTCCATTGAGGATTGATGAATAATGAAGTTGAGCATTGCAAAACTGCTTTTAATGGAGTAGCTGAATACACAACAGAATTGCTCTTATCTCTGGGACACAGCAAGGGGTGAGCTCTGAAGACTGAGGCTGAAGAAACCCCAGTCCATGTCTGCCTTCAAAAAGGTCAGGTCAAGCTGTCACCCTCCTGTCCCTCATCTCCACAGACCTCAAAATGTAAAGAGATTGCTGTGGGCACTGAAAAACTTTGATAACTCAGGGCTTCATCCATGTGTGAAAAGGACTGTGTGACATGGTTTGTACAATGGACAAAATACATGCTCCCCAATGCCATAGCATTTTTCATCTTGCCTGCAGTGGTGGCTAAACTCTGCACCTACCCTCAGCCATCCCTCCTCCACATACTGAGGCCAAATAGATGTTAATCCAAGCACTTGAAGAGTGTTCATACAGAATCACAGAGGATGGGGCCTCAAGTGATCATCGAGTCCAAGCCCACTGCTAAAGTAGGTTCACTACAACAGGCAGGCATCCAGACTAGTGTTGAATATCTCTACAGAAGGAGACTCCACAGCCTTGCAGGGCAACCTGTTCCAGTGCTCTGTAATCCTTACCATAAAGAAGTTCTTCATGTTAATATGTAACTTCCTACAGTTTTAGGCCATTACTGCTATCACTACACACCACCAAGAAGAGCCTAGCCTCATCCATTTGCCTCTCACCTCCCTTTAGATGTTTATAAACATTTATCAGATATGTGTACCGTGGGCACACAGATAGCATACCTTATTGCCATGATGGCAGCTCTACCACTTGCATTGCTTCCGATATCATAAACAAAATCAGAAATGGCTTGTGTAGGAGATAGGAATTGAGTAAACAGTGATGAGCCGCATGTATTTTCCCCATTGCCCTCTCCTAGAGAGAATCAAGAGAGCTCTTGTGTATGTTACTAGACCAACCAACCCAAAGGAGACAAACATCTCAGCTTTGTAAATGTGAAAGGCTCTAGAGTGGTGGGATCTGAAGGGACCTGTCCCAAAATGGATGCTCTTGGCAAACTCTGAAATCAGTGCACTAGATTTTGGTGTATCATCATGGCATCAAGGCTTTCACTGTGTGGGAAGCTTCACTCTACTTAAATAGAAGGACTCCCTTTCTAAAATGATGGTAAATAGATTGTTTATTTTCACAAGTTTTATAGAAGTTCATTAGCATCACTTGCCTCCAGCTTCCCACGCCATCCCAGCAGGTGACTGGGACTGTTTTACCTTGATACTGGAGAAGACCTATCCTATCTTTCCTTCCAAGCATTACGAAAAAGAGCAGATGAAAAAGAAGTTCCAGCTCTGACACCATACCCTTTTTCCTGTGTTAACATCTCACAGCATCTCTAATGAAGATGTATGTATAGAGTTGCTCCACTCCCCAACCCATATTTGAGTTATTCATAGCTCAGAGGAAAGAGATGGAAACAAAAGACACCTCACAGAGACAGAAAACATCTAAAATAAAGTGTTTCAAGCACAAAAAATGGCAGTTTTGGAAACTATAACCCCCCAGACTATGCAGAGAAGAAAAACAATCAGCCTGCAGATTCTGAGCTCCTGGGCCACAGCAACCCCACTAACCACCTCCACACAAAACCCACATGTATCTCTGTCTTATTGCCCTAGGAAAATTAGCTAAGGTAAAGACTAATCATTAGCCACAGTCTAGAAAACAGCCACCTGAAGAGGATATGAAGGTGTATAAAATCATAACAGGTGGAGATGGGATGATTATTCACTTTCCTTTTTAAGAGGCAGGAATTAGTGGGTGGAAAACCTGCCATAGTGGTGGAAGAGTGGAGAAGATAACATGGCCCGTTTCTATCCTGGACACAGCTGACTGTTGACCACTGCAGCACAATGCTGACAGAGGGTCAAAGCACAGCACACAATATCTAAAGGGGAATCTGGTGTTAGGGAACTTCTGGCTGTTTGTGAAGGTAATAGGAAGCATATCATGTTTGTGGTTTATATCTGGTGCCATTTACATGGTGCAAGGTCAAGAGAGTTGTATTTACTCAGTGAACCCTGATGTATGTGTGAACACATTGCTCTTGAACTGGTGTTCTGCAGTAGGACTGGAGGTGCACAATAGAGCACTTGCATTGCTCTGCCACATTCCCTCATTGCTCCCTTTTGTCTAGCCATCCTAAGACTGCTTTACAAACATGCACAAAACAACCAGTTGCAATACTTCAAGTCCTTGCATGTTCACAAGGCTAATTACAAGCAATCGATATTTTCATGCCAAACTACTTCTTCCCAACTGAAGGAGCAAACTTCCCTACGGTCAAGCACTCCGCCAAAAGACTTCCATGCTGAAGACCCAGACTGGATTTTCCACGAACTGGCCAGTAGCATTTTCAGTAATAATAATACTAACAACAAGAATCTCACTCAAAACCATGTCTTCACCAGGGCAGGCCTTGTCTCCCACTCTAGATCACTGTGTCTCAGGAAAGCTTCAACTACTCTAATACTCCATTTGGCTCCAAAAGATTCAGCTTTGCACTTACTCTATTCATATCTGTGGCAGATGTAGCCATAGTATGAATGGGGGTGGAGAGAATGTGGTACACAGTAGATGCAACAGCAGCTCCTTGTCATGTAGCCAGTAGGATGTGTAACTGCACAAGGCAATGCTGGGGGTGGTTCCTCCCCCTTAGGTCCGTGCCCCTGTCCTCTTAGTAACGTTCATCAGTGTATAAGTGCCATGGTTTCTAAGCACAATCATTAGATATTTAACAGTGCACGAGTATCTTTTGCAGTAACTGTTCACTGAGAATTTCACGTCCAATTCTGCCATCCATAGCACAATCAAGCTAAAAGCTTTCAGAACACCGGACGGACAAGGCTTCTTACCTGCTTCTCAGACATGATATAGAGGTGTTCATGATCCATTGAGAAGGCCATGTCCCTTAAGATGGGGCCAGTGTCCACCACCTGCACTATCTCATACTCCAGCGTGTTCTTGGTGGTGCCATCCACACGGATCTGCAGAGCAAAAAAAAAAAAAGGTGGGGAGAGAACATGAGTAGTTTTCCTCCTTCCATTCAGTCTGCAATAATCGTTAGAAATTGTGTTCTTGTTCACATCTTTTGGATAACAACCCCCATCACCACAAAATAAACTTTTCCCTTGCGTCCTCACTTAAAGAAAGCACAAAACTGCTGTTGGTCCCATCAACACAAAAGATCTGTTGAAGAACAATCCAGACCTTGCTAATTTTCTCTGGGACTATCAGTGTATTACTGCTGTTGTATTACCATCGCTGTATCACTGTTGCTGCCTGGACAAATCTTACCAAAAATTATGATATAAAGGACAGAACTTGTGGTGATGATGAGCAAAAGAGGAAAAAACACACAAGAGTCTTCCAGACTGACTCAAATGCTAGTCAGATACTATTATTGTTCTTATTACTAATATTCCATGGGGGAATATATTATTGCAGAACTTACAATGCAACACAGGCTATTTCTCTTGTTGATTACCTATATCTGATATTGAAATCTGTCCTGCACAATTATGACACCTTATGATTCCAGCTACAACTCATAACAGGGAGTCACTCAGGGACATCAATAACTGTGATTATGAGAACACTGTCCCAGTTTATCCCTGACAGTAAGACAGAACTATAGAAGAAAGAGCACAAAACTCAGTAAGTTTCTCCCTTTACAGGTCTAAAGTTAATCTGTAGAGACTGGACTGAAAAACAGTTGAAGAAGGTTACTAATCTTTTCCATTAGCATAATCACAATTCAGGATAATCTAGCTATCCACAGAAGTATTGGGTCCATTATATGGTATATTCTAGACTCAGTATTTCAGCAAAACTCATGACCACACAATTCAGAGATGCATCTACATTGCTCCCCTCACTGTGTTTACTCTCAGTTCCCCAAAATCTTGTATCCCAGAGCAATCCACACATTACAGTACCCCTCCCTAGCTTCCCAAGTTACAGCAGATCTGTTTTGTGCTCCAAACGATGATCTCCGTATCCTTCTGAGAAAAGCAGATCAAATGCTTCCAGATCCTGGTTTGTAATTGTGCAGAGAAAAAAAAAAAACACCCAAAAGGAAATAACATGCCACGGAATAATGACAGTATCAAGACCCATTCCCACTGGTCCCTGGCACACAGACCATGAGCTTGTTATTTCTGTATCAACCTTTTTTTTTTGGTTTTTTTTTTGCCAAGAAACTGAGCCTGAATCATCTTTTGTATTAGAAAGGAAAACAGAAAGGAAAAAAGGGAACAACAAAGGTCTGGAAAGCCTGTATAAACAAAGGGCTGCAATGATCATAGAACCATATGAGTTGGTAGGGACCCTTAGAAGTCATCTAATCCAACTCCCCTGCACTGAACAGGACCATCTACAACCTGATCAGGTGCTGAGAGCCCCATTCAACATGAGCTTGAGTGTCTCCAGGGATGGGGGCATCCACCACCTCTCTGGGCAGCCTGTGCCTCACCACCCTTATTGCAAAAAGCTTATTTTCTTATATCCAGTCTAAATTGCCCTTTCCAAAGGAGATCAGAGGACGTGTGGTTGGTTTATCATATTGATGGATCTGATGCTGATAGAAACATACTCCACAGTGTTAGCAAACAAAGAGGTTTGGGCCTTAAGCCCAACATCCAGCATCCATGCCTCCCAGTATCAGTGAGTACCTGGTAGGAAAAGGCTCATTCATGTCCATAATGAACACCTTTATCTCCTTGGTCTCTGCTTAAAAGCAGTCACCGATACGGTTCACGTGTGAGGTAAAGAAGAAAGAGGCCAATGAGCTCAGGATAAACTCTTCCTCTTAGGACAGTCAGAAGAAAGCAAGGACAAGCAAAAAGGATTGAAGGTGGAGAAACACAGAAACCTGTACATTGAGGCACTGCCCCAGGCAGCTCAGAGAACCCCGTTAACAGAAGCCTTTCCAATTTCCTATGAGGACTTCTCTGCACCAAGTTCTCGCTGTCAGAGGGCAATGACTGAGCTTTGTCTGCTGCTTCAGCTTTGCCCCCATTTCCCATCTCCTGTGGCTGCTCCAAACAAACCTCACATTTTCGCTGCCTTGACCTTGATTTCTCAGCATGATCAGGGTCAGATCTGTAGGCCACCAGATATGTAAGCAGCCAATTATCACCCCAGGCTTAGTCACTATCCCCAGCCTTTGCGAGCCCCATTAGAGGAGAAGGAGCTTGGAGATAGAAGAGGCAAGCAGAAGAAATAACCAGTTGGAGTTAACAAACAGCACAGACACGAGGCACAGACCCCTGGGATCTCCCCTGTGGGCTTGGTGGAGGTAAAAGATTGCAGAGGTTTCACACCAGGAAAACAGTCATACTTGGAAGGAATTTAACAGCTATCGCTAACCTAATTGGCTGCAAAATCATTATGGGGCAGAAGGGGAGGAAGGGATCATTCCACTGAACATGTGCAAGCACACACACATGCACTCATGCCTACACAGCCTAACAGCTGTAAGTGCAGAGATCTCTTCTTCTAGTCATAGCTATTAAATAAGGAAAGAGAAAATCCAGAAAGTGGCCAGAAAGCCTGGTAGACATTCACCCACACCGCAAAGATAATGCAAGCCCTGTGCCAGCAAAGAGACGACACTGCAGCTTGCATCCAGAATTCTGGCTCCTAAATCAAGTCCTATCTTATCCTGTCTTCAACTCAGGCCTTCGTATGCTCAACCCCAGGCACTGAGTTTAAAGGATCTCTATCTTCACAGAACAATCTTGCTGCTGAGCATCAAGCAATATAATCGCAATCTATCTTAGAGTTTTATTCCCCACTCCCAAGCAACCACTGGAATTAAAGCATTTGAGTTTGGAAGGGGAAAAAAAGCCAGGGAGTCTATAAAGGGGAAATGAGGAGATTCTGATCTAGGCTTGCAAGTAGTCATCACTGATATCAGGGACACAAATACAATATACCCATGCTGCTGAATGAAAGAGAACTCAAAGCATAAACCAGCATTTTCCTCTGTTCTTGCTTTCACTAGTTGAAATCAGCCATAAGCATGGAGCTGGGGTGCTGAAGCAGATGGATTTTTCTTCTGACTGAAGTACGGATACTCTTATAATGGAGATGTTCTTAGTGGGCTGTGAGATTAGAGCCTGAGTGAGAATCCAGAGGGATTTCTCTTTGAATCTGGATGCTACTGAACCAGTAGCATCTTTGCAAGGTAGGAGGGTGGAGAGCAAGGCAATAAAGGAAGAAGGGGCTCCAGGACTTTATGCAAGTCCAAAAATGCTCAGCCCACCACTACCACCACTGCCAGATGTACATGCACTCATCCACAAACACGCTCATCACCTTCACTGCTGGAATACCCGTTCCTATTGCCTGGACACCTGCCCTACTCAGCACTCTAAATCATCGACCAACCCCACACCACCATGCCTGCCACCACCCGTAGGACTGACACCAACCACCTTTTACCCAGCACCCTGACAACTCTCCATTGCCCCACAGCCAACACACAAGCAGAGCTCCTGGGGGATCAGCTCATTCAGACTGCACATTAATCCTGCTTCTCGGAAGGCTGCACTTGCTGGGCTTCATTCTTCAAAGCTGGCTGCTATTAAAACATCAGCATGATGCTTCCCGAAGGTCAACTGCCAGGGGACCTATTCTGGCAGCTGTTTGTTTGTTTGTCTGAACATTATCTAGGTCTGGCTGTTTATTTACATCCATTGAAGTATCAGACAATAAATATCCTCTCCCAGTAGCAAACAGATGCTTGCACTCGAATGTTCTGGTTAGTGCTAGCTTCAAAATGATCTCCTTAATGAGCAAACAACACTATTAATCTTTAAAGATACAGGCTCTGGTCTTTCCTGAACTCCCACACTGGTCATGGCTAGCCCTGTAGGCATTCTGGCAAAGAGCCCATTGGTCTGGAAGATGAAAGAAAGTAAAAGATACCTTCCATTATTTTACTGATGCTTACAGTTTTATCTGGATCCCTACAGCTACTCTGATTCCACAGGAGAGAAATGGTGAGAACAGGAGAGAAATGTTCTGGGCAAGACTCCCTACATGTGGCAAGGGGGGGGGCTGGAGATTCATGATCCTTAAGGTCCCTTCCAATCCTGGCCATTCTGTGATTCTGCAAGCTGGTGGCCAATTGGACTTCTCTCTTAGAAGGGATCATGGGTTTTAGGGGTTGGAATCATGTGGTTATTGAAGTAAGGGGCACAGAAAAACTCCCTAAAGCATGGGACAAAGTTTAGAGGGCATGGTGGGGATGGGCTGATTGTTGGACTACATGATCTTAGTTTTTTTTTCCAACTGTAATAATTCTATGACTCTGCAATCTCAAACGGACCAAAGAAAAACAGTGGAGATGGAGGACAGAGAAGTAATAGGTGTCAGCAAGCAATCAGCCTCACTATTGAAAGACAAACCATGGTCGTGGCAAAAACAAATTTCTTCAATCTCAGCAGAGCAACAGAAACATCTCCCTTGCAGATCAGAGCACTGGTCCTGCTCCATGATCAGAGGATCTTGCAGTTCTGGTAGTACATTCTTCCTCTGCTAAGCTGGATGGGGATGGTCACTTTTGGGAAGCGTTACTTTTCATACCAAGAAGTGAGTTGTGAAAGAGGTCTAAGCACATCAGCAGCAAAGATTAAACTGTATATCTGCACTTGCAAATAGCACAGTGTAAAACTGCTGATCTGTAGATGAATGCCACTTCTGCTAAAACCCGCCATCTAAGCTGCTTGTGTTACAGGCATGGCATGATGTCACAGACTGAATCAGTGTTTGGAGCACATTAATAAATCCCTGGAGGTGTTCAAGACCAGGCTAGGTGGGGCCCTGGACAACCTGATCTAGTAGGTGGCAACTCTGCCCGTGCCAGGGGGTTGGAACTAGATGATCTTTGAGGTTCCTTCCAACCCAAGCCATTCTATGATTCTCTGAATATAATGCAGTCTTGTTTAATCCAAGAAAAATCCAGTTATGCTACATTTTCTAGTATATAAATAGCTGTATTTTAAGCATGGGCAAATGATTGTCTTCAAAATTGCCTTCAGAATCTCTTTGAAAGCAGGCTTCATGAAAATGATCACAGCGCTCCTGCTAACACATCATCTCAATTTTCTTGCCCCAGTAGGTTGGTCTTGTTAGAGGCAGCAGAAGTCTGCATCACTTCTGCCATGTCAATTGTGCTCAGCTGTTTCCTGCTCTTCTAAAACCATATATTCCTTCTCAGAGCATCAGCAGAGTGAAAGTGAGACCCCCATATACTCCTTAAAATCCAGCCAAGTCTCCTGAGATTTGTTTGGGAACTGGGACAGGGCAGACAACAGCTGGATAGGAAGACAGCAGGAGCAGAGTCTAGTTGGCTGATAGTCATTACAAATAATTAAATGAATAACTAAGGGGATGAGGAGCTTGGTGAACCATGGCTCATTCAGCCAACACTTCCCTCCCCATCACTCTGCTTTGTGCAGAATCAGCAGACCCCAGGCTGATGAAGTTAGAGGGAATTCATCACTGCCAGCCCCAGTGCTTCCAGACAGCACTCTGGCAGTTCCTGCTCAAGTAACAGCGACAGTTTGTTTTAGCCATGAAATTGCCCCAGATCCCAGAGGAGGTGATTAAGGAAGATTGCAAGAATGGATTTCAAAGACAAAGCCCCACAGGACATAGAATCAGGCCCCACTGCCTCCACCTGGGTGCAAGGGAACAAACAGTGGCACTGGCTCTGAAAGAAATATTTTGTATAGGGAAAACCAGAGCTGGGCAGAGGACAATCTCTGTCCTCCCCACAGTCTGAGGCATCTCTTCTTTGTCCTCTCTGCATCTCCTTCTCCAAGGGCTTCTTACCGAAATCACCATCATTATTTCTTACTATTGGATTAAGGCTCAGCAAATCTCATTTCTAAGAGATCCAAGCAGCCCTGCAGCCCAGCACATCAATCCAGGCTGCTCTGAGCAGTGCCCAGCCACAGCCTTACGACTGCACAGGGGCCTCTAATACTTCATTGCTTTTCCAATATCAGTTCCTCCCCATTTTATGAACCTAACATTCCCCAGTGGGCACAGTCTGCTGGCTGCAGTTTCTGGCATGGCAAGGGAGCAAAGACACAGCAGAGTATGATCTAACATCAGGCCATCATGATGACAACCTACTTCTGCTTTTCCATTGATTTGGGTTATGTGATATAACTGCACTGATCTCAGCAAAGACAGGGAAGGAGCTGGTGAACTCTGTTTCCTCCTATTTCCCTGTTTTGCCATGTGTTTTCCGATAGAGTAATCCATTCTAATTTGCCTAAAGCCTATTAGCAGGAGATCAATTTCTAATAAAATATGACATTTCAATAATCCTGTCTATCTACCAATTCAAGAGGCTTTTAGAAACACTAATTGAAAAAGCAAGGGGTGAGCTATCTCTTTCTTCTGCCTAACAGCCAGCAGTCCTCTCTCTTCTCTTCTACAGCTTTGAGGTGCTGCTTGTGTTGATCAAGTCATTCCATCCAAGTACAGATCTGAGAGCACCTTCAGTCATATGGAGATCAAGATCCTAACAAACCAAGTGTTTGGTCACAGCACTCATGTGTTCAATGCTGTCCAAATCGAAACGTGTGTGGATGGCAGCCACTGTCACCAGAGGCAATGCTAGGCAATCTGGAGAGGAGACCAACCTCAGAGTTCTGCTTCCAGGGAAGACTCACTAGAGGTCACCGCTAGATGTTTAAGGGGCACTGAGTTACAATGGATCAAGCATGCAGTAATGCAGGATACACTGGAATGAGCCTTCTGCTTTGTGCCAGAGGATCCTGCAAGCCAGGAGACCAACTCACAGTAGACAGAAGTCCTTTTTTTTTTTTTTTTTTTTTTTAAAATGGTCCAAAGCAAGTGACTACCAAGCCATTCCACTCTATTTCCCCACTAACATTTATAGCAAGAGAAACTCCCAGCCATAATGGATTTATGATCTAAATCAGACATAAACAAAAGGCCAGACTTTTGTTCTTGGTTTGGACAGCAACTAACACAGTAGGTTTATGATCACTGCTACCACTACTATAAAAATAATAATTACAGCCTTAAGTGTGGCCAGCCAGGATATGTCTGGACTGCAGGGCTCACCTCAAATTGAAATAGCAATTGTTCAAGCTTCAGACCTGGACACAGAGGAAAGACAAAGAGGTGGCTGGGTCCTTTCTACCCCTCATCAGGGAGAATATGTCAGGTGTGTGCAGCTTTCACATTCATGAGCCCACTGACAGATGACATCATTTTTGAAAGCATGGTTTACACACTATCCCCTGGCGCTCCCTGATTGATAAATTAGACAGTCGTGAGCCACGTGCTAATCAATGCAAATCATTAGTTTGTAACAACACAAGGCAAGCTCGGCAGAGCTCGTTTTTCAAGGTAATGGTCTGCCAAGAGATTGGTGTTCAGCAACAAGCCCAGCCAGGCAACCTATTAGCAGGCTGCTGGCTCTCACCTATGGCATGGGGCTGAGGCCTCTACTCTCCAGTCTCCATGCTGAGGACTTGGCTGTGATGCTACATGCAAGAGCCAGAGCCCTGCATCTATAATTCCTTCCCCCTTCCTTCACAGAAGGCATCACAACTTCTGGCCCTTGCTCTCCTGACAGCAGCCACCTCAGTCCTACATACCTGGAGTACACGTGCTCTTGCTGATATATATTTCAGGAACACTTACTCTTCACTTACCCAACCCTGCAACCTAAAATAAAAGCCATTTGAGACTGGGAGAAAAAAAAAAAAAAAAAAAAAAATCAGCTTTGCCCTCTCTCCAGGGAAAATGAAGCAAGGAACAAAAGGCACTGGCCTGCAGAGATGTCCTAGAAAATGTCATGCTGACCCATAGTGGCATCTCTGAGATCTGATGCCTACATCAGGCATGCATTTGAGCAAACCAAGAGGACATTTAAACACTGTAGTCACATAGTTTGTACACAAGCCTTTATTGAGGCTCTTGCAAGTGCTGTCCATCTGGCAGCTTTGAGGAAAGGACACTACAGGTGACGAAGACTTGCCATCATTGATGAGAGCAAAAAGAAGGGAGGAACACAGGACAATTCTGCTTGTTTCTCACAGGCATCTCCAAGGATCCCATAATATCCTTTGTGTCCGGGTTATAAGCACTGCAAGATTTTAGTCACTCTAGGAACACAGCTCTCTTCATCCATTTTTCCTACCACACTCTATCCAGCACCCCAGATTCTCTATTTGACGTTACCAGAAGCCAAGCTCTATGCTCATAGTGAGGGCCCTACTCCTGAATGCTGGTATTTATGATCCCAATGAACCATCTCAAGAGCCATCCTGTTGTCACACTGTTCATGCACAGTATGATGGCGCTTTTGGATTATGCATTTGTCTCTCTGCAGCACATCTATGGCTACTTTACAGCTACAAAGTCTCTCCTCCACATAACAGCATCCCACAGAACATTCTGAAAGAGAATATGCTGCACTTGGTATCTGTAAGTATCTTCTTGCATGTCAAAAAGTTATTCTAGTTTTCCAGCATGCCAGGAGTTCATATATACATAAAGCCAACAGTCATGACATGAAGAGTACAAAAGCTCAGCTACTCCAGTTTGTCCAACACTGGTGGAATTTCATTATCAGCAACATTTTGGGAGGAGATGGCTAGCTTTAGACATTTACCCTGATACTGCCACCAGTGGCAAAATCATAGGATCATAAAATGGCTTGGGTTGGGAAAGACTTCAAAGGTCATCTAATTCCAACCCCTCTCTCATGGGCTTTCAGTTAGAGTGGATTTTGATTGATATAAGGGAGAAAAAAATGCAAAAAAAGAAAGGAGTGTAAAAATGAAACTTCAACATACAAGGACGTTCTTCGGGTGGCAACTTGCATGGCATACAACCCAAATTAGCTGATGACTCTGGTCAGATCTTAAGCAGAAGTGAAACTATATATCAAAGCCCCTGACACAAGTAGCACTATCGGACTCAAGCTCTATATGGTTTTGGGTCAGAAACATATAAAAACAAAGTTGATCTGTGAATAGGACTGGCCAGAAACAAAGATATTCACACAGTATTGGCCTGGAGCACAAATCCTTACATGGGATTGCTCAGAAGCTGTGGTAGATAATCCTATGGGATGGTCTGAGGACAGACGGATGGCAACATGGGCAGGACCTGGAATACAAGACCTTTATAAGTGTCTGTTCTTGGGGCTGAGAGCCCAGATGCCTCCCAGAGATGAGCTCATCTCACCATGCTGGGAATGCAGTGACCCGGGGGGCTGGGATTGCTGCGGGGGGGTACAGAGCAGCACCACAATGGGCCCTTTGACTGAAGCCAGACGGAGTGAGCTTTGAGACACCCACAGATCTTCATGACACTATGTCACTTGAGGAAGCCAGCTGCCCTTGGGCAATGAGAGGCATGCAAAGACCCAGGCACTCCCATGGACACATGGGCAGGAGGGCACACAGCAGCCTTACAGAGGCACAGCAGAGCATGCATCAACCCAGTAGCACACCATACATTGGAAACGCTCAAACAGGTTGCAGCACAAAGGTACCCAGTGACATGTGCACGTGGTGATGCTCATCTGCCTGGACTCAGGATGCACCCAACAATGTGCCATGGGGACTCAGTCACGACTGAGTGATTATGAGATGAGGTGAAGATGAACACAAGTGTGCTAAGTGCACTGTCATATACCTGCAGATTCTAGGGTTGGAACACACTTGAATAGCACAGAAATCCCCCTTGAAGGCACCCACTCTCTGTAGCAGACAACACAAGGATCTGATCTGAACACAGCCTTTAGCACATGGTGGGTGGCACAGTGCCCTCTGTGGCTCCATGCGTCAACCATAACTTATAAGACATGCAGAAGCATTTGCAATTTCCCTTTACAGTATAATAGAGGCAGACCAAAGAACCTGCTTTGCTGAGGATTTGGGCATTTTCACCACTTCCTCCAAACAACTCAAATCCAAAAATCATTATTATACCTCTGGTCAAGTAAGGTTCTCTGGTCTTGCAATGATATTTGCTCCAGACTGGTTCTGAATGGCTGCAGAGAAATGGAAAGATGGGCTATGAGCACATAAATAAAAACTGAGAAACGCAGGGTTTGGGGTTCTTTACTCATTCTTCTGTGACACAGAAGGCTTGTGTGGATGGATGGAGTGATGACTTGGGAACAATTCCTGTCAGCAATTTGGAGAGGTGTTGTTATCTCTGAATAATGTGGGGAAAAAGGGAACCTGAAGAATCCTCAGAAGGAAATCAGCCAGTCCAGCCTTTCTGTCAAGTGCTTTTTGTTGGTTAACATCCCTGGGGCTAAGGTCAAGATAATGAGGTCCCACGTATCTCTGGGCCCCAGACCCATTGATGGGGTTGTGCTCTGCAGAGGTTATTGTAATTCAATTGTTGGTTGTTTCAGCTCCTGGGCTTCTCAATGCCGAGGTGACCTATTAAGAACTTAATAACAGATAAAAAACATCCCTTGAAGCTTTTCTAATCTGTGTTTATCCACAGAAAGAAAAAAAATAGAGAGAAAGAGTGAAAGCTTATCATCCAATATTGACTTAGATAAAAGGGAAAGCCCATCTGGGGACAAAGGTCCATGCTTATCCTTTCTCCCCTTTCGCACAAGCTACCAGAAAAGTGACCCAACCCTACAGCAGCAGGCTGGGCCTATTCCCTTCATTTCCTATAGGCTACTCCTGCACTGAAGGCTGCTCTCATCTACCAACTCACCAACCCAACCCAACCCACCAACAGTCCATTTTCCCTTGTCTGAGGTCTGACCATAGGACATGTCTCTCCTTATACACATAACATACTTCCAGCCATCCAGAAATGAATGAGCAGCATTAGTCCCAAATCCAATCCCTAGTTAGTCCTCACTCTCCTCTCAGCTAACCTCCAGCAAGATAAAAACTCCCTGAGCAGCCATCTCAGCTCAGCTGTGTCTCACTGAGCCTTCTTTCTTCCCAAGGCTTTCTCATCTCTTATCATCCAGTCCTTCATTAGTGACCCAAAACCATTTCTTATAATTTCTGTCTTCCAAAGACCACTAATTTTTGCTCCTCTCCTACAGAAGCCATACATCACTTCACTGAAGTGATCTTCAGTGTGCAGCAACAAACTCCAAGATGTTCCTAGCCACTACTGAATGGAAAGACAGCCACCCCTCTAAAATACTACAGAAAAGACCACACCAAACAAACAAATTTGTTGCTCAGAGACACAACAAATTCTCAGGTCTTCCTCCTCTGCATCCTTCGTGTTTCCAGAAAGAAATACCACCAATCATTGCTTGCAGTATCTTCCAAATGGACCTAAGCATTCTACACAGCATCTTGCCCCATCAAGCCAAAGGATCTCCAAAACATTCAGCTGAGTCCTACTGCTTTATCCTCACAGAATGCTCTCATGTCAGTCTGTGCCGATAACAGTGAATGCACTCTGTTCCTCTTCATCACCTTATTTGATTCCAGGGTTAGAAGATTAGGGCAATGTAGCAATTAGATGAAACAGTGTGATGGAAAAAGGTGTTTCACCAGGGGTGTAATGGCAGAGAGATAGACACAATAGAAAGGTGCTATGAAGAAAGGGAAGAAGACTGCTTACGCATATCAGAAGATTCCAGGTTTGCAGGGGAAAGCTCCACCAGGAAGAAATCTCCAGAAAGAGATGCTGCCCTTAAATGAGCTCTAAGAGAGGTGCAGCCAGGCTCCAGCCCTTCTAGTCACACAGGTGCCTTCACCTGTGCTCACAGGGCTGAGCTGGTCCTTTCCCCAGGTGCTCAATCAGTGGTCCAGGCCGTGACTCAACAGTTCCCACACAGGCAAGGGACTGGAAAATTTGGAATCTTAAACCTCATCTTAAGTATTTATTGACCGTATGACCATAGTGATGTCACCTTCCCTGTCAGTACTTTAGTTTCTACATGTTTCATTGAGCCACCTATGGATTTGATCATTTTGGGGGGATAGTTTCTATGCCTACAGGAAAAGTTAAGTGGAAGTTCTTGAAGAGTAGACCATAAAAGATACTGTCTAAGTGACATGCACCACTGCACAGTCCTCAGCTCAGAGGGTCACACAGGGGAAAACAGGTGATCATACGATCACACAACCATGGCTCTCAGCACATTACTATTGACACCTCCAGAGACAGCTAGAGAGAGACAAAAATTGATTGGTATTGGAAATCTTCAAGGGGAAAGTATTGTGTAAGTCAAGTAATTGCTATCTCCGATAGCATAAGAACAGCATGTGTCTCCAGACCCTTAATCACAGGCGTTCCTTGTACATCAGTCAGATTAGACAAATGTGTATGCAAAGACTTTGACCGAATTATCTAAAACTAATACAGACAAATTTTAAAATGATGACCGAATAGGTATGCTTTTAACACAGTTAAATGGCAGCTTACATTACTATCAGTGCAAGGTCTCTGCGGACAAGGAGACAAGGTGGTAACTTAGCTTTTGAGGAATACAGGGAGTGATTTTCTTCCAGCCAACCACACTCTGTGTTCTGTAGAGCATCAGCACAGGTCTGTGGGGATAAAGCTGCCCACCCTGTGGAGGAAATAAAGCTCTCCCTGTGCACTTAAAAGGATTATGAGTTCTGCTGGGAACTGCCCTAAAGGAGCTGTACAGCACGGAGGGCAAGACACAAGGCACAATCAAGAGATTATTAAGAGAATCAGAGGGATTTAGCAGGCAATACTGACATATTATTCCACTTGGATGGAGGCAGGGGACTCCTGGGAGAGGAGGAAGGCTTGCTGAGCCATTCAGGTTGGGGGCTGCCTGCTAAGACAGGAATCAGATGCTACACAGAAGTGTTGGTCAGGTTGGGCTCCCCCATCAAAGGACTCAGAAGGCTTATCATGAGACCAAAACGTCTGAGTCTTATAAAGAACACCAACCAATAGTTTACAGGAGTAACTACTACATCACCATTAAAGTTGGTGCTTCAATAGCAGAATTTGGGAAAAAGCACAGGAGTGCTTCTCAGAAAGGCTGGTCACACAGCTGGGTCTCAGGACTACAGGGAGCCCAAGCAGGGTCTTTCCCCACTGTCTTGAACAGATCAAGCGAGGCAGGAGCATTCAGAAAGCTCAGCTGCACACTTGGTGATGGGAATGTGAGAGAAGAATACTTTGGCCATGATCCTCTCTTATCTCCATAGCCCTCATCTACCTCCCATGGGCTTGGGAGAGACGGCAAGAGTGTGTCACTATAATGGGAGATGAGGGATCACTTTCCTCTGGGACCTCAAGGTAACCCTGGCAGTGAAACTCTACCCAAAGCAGTTTTGACATAAGGTCGCAGCACAAGACAAGGCAAGGTCAGGAGTTCAGCATCAATACAGCAAGTGCCAGTCATGACACAAAAGACCCTGGGATCAGATATACCTGCCAAGTGCTGCCTGGGAGGGAGGGTATTGAGATGCATAATTACTCCCGCTTTCATCTGTGCTGTTCTTCCCCTCCGTTCACATGGCTCTCCTGGCTTTGTCCTTTCTCTGTACTGCTGGAAAAAGCTTCCAAATGCTGACTCCTTCCTTCCCTTTTATCAACCCTTTCACTCTCTCCTCTCTCAGCACAGACTGGTAACTGAAAGGTCTACGAGCATAATCCTCCTTCACTGAAGCAATGGCCCAGCTTCAGCAGTCACTCCTAAGAGCAACCAGTGATCACCTCCAGCTTTGCATTGGAGTAACTCAACAAGGTTATCCCACGCAAGTGTAAGGAGGAACTATAGAGGAACTAATGTAGACTGGGGACTGTGAAAATCAGCACAGAATTGGTTGAGTTGGAAGGGACCTTAAGGACCATCAAGTTCCAAAGGACATGGTTGCCACCCATCAGATCAAGCTGCCCAGGGCACCATCCAATCTGGCCTTGAGCACCTCCATAGATGGGGGCATCCACAGCTTCTCTGGGCAGCTGTGTCAGCACTTCAACAGGACCTCAAAACCTCCCAAGAGGGTGCAACTATTTTCCTTTAAACTACTTAGACACAACTGTCAGGTTGTGTTAGTGCTTTTTTTTTTTCATACTCTTAAGGATATGGGGGTTATTTAGTGAAATTCTAACTTGGGGATATATAATATGCCAAACCCAGCACATTTCAAGGCAAACACTGATCTCCATCCAAACAATGGCTTGAAACATCTTAAACATTGAGAATTTGCATAGAAACAGCCTCTCTACCTTAAACACCGCTTGCTCACCCTGTCCCAAAACCTGGTCTCCTTTTGAGGAAAAACCTTCCGTTTTCAAGGTTTTGTTGTGGTGAAACTGGATCCATTTTATGAAATTGAGACAAAATACAGGAATGTCAGGTTTGGAGACCTTCATATACTCTTGGAGATATTTTGCAGAGCCCTTTTAAATGACTTTTTTTTAAAACTACTTTTAAATAGTCGCTTAACCAATCCTCCTCACACCAAATCAAAGTTTTTCTTCGCAGTATATATCCACACACAAAAAAAAAAAAAAAGAGGGCAAAAAAGATGTTGGGGATGGGCTATCTATTATTTTTGGTCCCTTGAAGCCCCAAATACTCCTTTCTGGCCGAAGGTTCTCTGTGTGTGCAGCAGATGGCGCAGCTGCAGTAGCTGTCCCACTGCCACCCACTGTCCCTACATCAGCTTTGGGGCCCTCTGAAAGGACACCCCACCAAAGTCAGCTTCCCCCTGTAATCGATAGGCTCATCCTGTCCTTTTTTGGTGTTTTTTTGTTTTTGTCTGGGTCCATCACTGTGTGATTTTAGCACTCTCAGGGAAGTTTATACCCATGAAAGCAGGTCATGAGCTGTCCCAGAGAAGGGGGGGACACATCCATAGGGGATGCAGTAGGCATAACTCTGTCACAAAGAGATGGATGTGCCATAAAATCCCACATGAGGGCCTCCTGAGGTACTGGTATCATTGATAGCCCTGAACTCAGCCTGAGCCCCCCAGTTCCTTGGGACATTTAAAACGGGGAGAGACAAAAGACAGGAGACAAAATGGGCCACGGGGAGCAATCCGACATCAGTGCAGGTGCCTCATTTCCATGCTGGAAGGCAAAAGCCATGTTCCCCAGTGCAAGATTTGCCTCTGTGAGCAATGTCGGTCTGGGTGATGGAGACCAGAGCCTGAGCAGCTGCCCCAGGAGCAGCCTTTGGGCTCTCCGCATTCATCGGAGCAGACTGACTCCTCTCATCACGGCTCTAATGGTTCCCACTAGACTACTATTTCTGTCCAGGAGTGACAGAGGAAGGCAGTGTGCAGCCTTTATTTTTGGGAC